TGGCTATGTACCAAGAAGGAGCTTATGAGCGACTATGCAGGTCAATCATATATAGAATGATAGAACCTTTTATTCTAAGATAGAAATAACTAATGCACTATGATATTTGTTGAGAGTTTGAATTGAAGGAACATGCTATAAGTAGAATCTTATGTTTGACGTTAAACATGTATAGAATGATAGTACTTTTATTCTTGGTAGAATTTAATAATGCAATTTGGTATCTGTTAAAAGTTTGGAGTGTAGGAACATGCTAAAAGTAAAATCTCATGCTTGAAATGTTGTTAATTGCTGTCCTTCCTCTTGCTGTCTTCAATTTCATACTTTTGTTTCTTATTGAAGTGTGAAAATTCTTGCTACATACACTAGATTAATTGGCTCTTGGTGTCTGTTGTCTAGACTGTGTGTGTGGGATTCTGTAGGAGATACGGGGGATTTTCCCAAGTGTTAGATTAGTTGGTTGACGTTTCTTGTCCCTTCCTTGTAGATGGGTTCAGGCAGAATGTAGGAAACTTGGTGACATGGACAATCCAGAAGTTAATGAGCTTTTGAAAACAGCTGTGCGTTGTCTTAAGGAAAGCCTCGTCCTTTTCAAGTATTGTGCTGAAGAGGTGACTTCATTGAGTCAAAATTTTATGTTCATAACTCCACTTCCTTTTGGTTTTTTCTGTTGTATGTTATTAAGATTTTTTGCTGTAATCACAGGTAGCAAATATGAGACATAATGCATTATTTAGAAGGTTCATAAGTGCTCTTACACGGGGAGGACCAGGTGGGATGCCAAGACCAATAGAAGTGCATGCTCATGATCCTTTACGTTATGTTGGAGACATGCTAGGATGGTTACATCAGGTTTGTGAAAAAAAATAGTCTTCTATATGGTTTCTGCTTCTCTTCTTCATATAGTTATGTTTATATTAAGAAACATTTAATTTCAACTTTTGTTTTAATTTCCTGCACTACTTATAGGCCTTGGCTTCAGAGCATGAACTTGTGCTTGTTTTACTAGATCCCGATGCATTGATAGAAACTGGATCAGCTGCAAACCCATTTCTGTCCAAGAATGTGGAGAATGATTTTGGAAAGATTGAAGCAGACTTGACATTTGTTCTGAATAGGATTTTTGAAGGAGTTTGCCGGCCTTTTAAAGTGAGAGTTGAGCAAGTTCTACAATCAAAACCTAGTCTTATAACCTCTTACAAACTTAGTAACACGCTAGAGTTCTACAGCTACACTGTGAGTGATCTCTATCTCTTGTTATTCTGGTTGTATATGGTTTGCTTGTCATCTGTTGATAACAATATATGTTTGCTTACAGATATCAGATCTACTAGGGAGAGAAACATCTATTTGCAATACACTTTGGGCACTCAAAGATGCTGCACAGAAAACATTCTTTGAAATTCTGAAAAGTCGTGGGGAAAAACTTTTACGGTATTCTCCCCTTGTTGCTGTAGATCTTTCACCAGCACCAGCTGTAAGGGAAGGAGTCTGCTGCTGGAGATAATTGACACATATAACAGCATGATGGTTCCTGCTTCAGGGAGAAAGCCAGCTTTTGATCCGGTTATATCTGCTTTACTTGATCCGATTATTCAGGTGTGTCAAGTTTTTTCTTGAATGAGTGCAGTATTTGTTAGTGATCCTGACAATGATAAGTATTCCTATTTTCGGATAGTCTGCTCAGATCACTGTTCGCTGCATTTAGGATTTGGGAGTAAAAACTTCAGTCCTATGTGGTTTCTGTCCAGTAGATTAACTTACTACCTTTAATGGAATGCAGATGTGTGAGCAAGCAGCAGAGGCACACAAATCTAAGGGATCTGGGCACTCATCAAATAGCCGCCGAATGAGTTCTGATTCAGGCCACCTTAGTAGTTCTGCAGTTGATGCAATTTTATCAAATAACAACTCTGCTACGTTCTCTCAGGTTAATATACTCTGCTACATGCACGATTGCACGGTTTTGGGCGTTAGGTTTCTTTTGTTAACTCATTATATCACGAATTTATGCAGAATAGTGAAGCTCTATCCAAGATCTTCCTTATCAACTGCTTGTGTGCTATTCAGCAACCATTACTCGGACATGAGGTTGCAGCTGAATATGTAAAGAAACTCGGGACGATGATTGATGATCATGTAAACATTCTCGTGGAGAAAGAAGTTGACACAATTCTTAGAAGATGTGGCTTGTCAATGAAAATGCATCACTTCCGTAATTCGAAGGATACAACAATCGAGACTCCATTAGCCGAGGCGGAGGACACTATTCCGGCTTCTCTTTCAGAGTGTTTGAAGGCTTTCTTTGGATTCATTTTGGGAAGCGATAGTTCGTTGCCCGAGTTTGAACAGATGCAGGTTCCGAAGTTGCGTGCAGAAACATGTATACAGGTAGCTAGGTCATTGGCCGATGCTTATGAGCTTACATACAATGCAATCATGGACCCGAAAAACAAATACCCAGATCCCAAATCACTGGCAAGGCATCCTCCAGATCAGATAAGAACCATTCTGGGAATGTGAGGGAGCATATTTACTTTGAAAAATGTAAACTTTTTTTTTAAAGAAATAACTTGATAGCATAAACTATAGAGGGTTTATTTTTCAAGTAGATAGACAATTGTTGTAAGAATGACAATGTATCTTCTTTGATGATGTCCGGACATACTTATGCTTCCAATATTTTGTTTTCATTTCTTAGGTGAATTAGTAGTATTTTGGTTATGTCCACGATTAAGTGGGAAATTGAAGGTTGAGAGCCACGTGTCTGTTTTGGCTTAAAAATGTAAAGAAAGGCACTCCATAGTACTAGGGTATTCAATAGGTTAATTCAGTTAACCGACCGAATCGAATTACTATTAAACAAATTTTTTCTTTAACCGTTAATACAATCGATTTATTTTTCAAAAAAATTTAACAGAATCGAACTAAACTCAATTGATTGCTCGGTTAACCGAAATTTATAAATAATATTAAATATATAATATTTTCGGCTTATTCGGTTAAAGTCAAAATTTAAACAACTCTAAAACTAAATAAAATGTAAATAATATATAATATATTAAATATTTAATAATTTTAATTAATTCGGTAATTTAACATACTTCGAACCAAATTAACTTATAATCGAAGTTTAAAAAAATTAATCGTTAATCGACTGAAATTTCACTTCGGTCGATTAACTCAATTTTAACTGAATTATGAACACCCCTACACCACACCGTACGATACCTTAAACGTGAAAAAAAGAAGCAAAATATTTGATGTTTGGCGTGAGTTTATAGTTGAATCGGACATGACAAAATGAAGAACATGAAAGCCAAATGAAAGGGAAAGGTGTAAATGGTGGACTAGGGATTTTCAATCAATGTTTTATGGCTATACTTGTACAGCAGTTTCTCATAAATACACGACTTAAATCAATCAAATTATAAAATGACTTATTTAGTTACTTGTGTTGGGTGAATGATGAATCTGAAATGCTTTTTCTTTTGGAAGGGAGAAGAAAGCGAATATTTTTTTTACTAATATAGGATAATTCTTAATTATTTGATATTGAATGTTCATTTTCTTGATATTCTTGATGCTTGAATTCGGGATCTCAATGATTAACAACAATTTTTTTACCGCCGAAGTAATTTGGTTCGTGCAACAAAACAACTTTTCTTCCTTCAAATCAAAGTCTTCTGACATTTGTATGTTACTCTAAAATATTTTAATTCTTAATATTTTTATTTTGATTAAAATAATATTTTTTATAAATATAGTTAATTAGTTAACGATTAATATTTATTATAAATAAAATATATATATATATATATTTAATTATTAAGTGATATATATATTATACTATAAAGAACGATAACTTGACGTTAATAATTAAACACATTGGAGCAAAACCCTCTTACGAAGCAGTTTGGAAGGAACATGGGAGCTCCAAGGTGGAGCCCTTCTCCGGAACTTTGGGCCAAGGTTAATACCTACGGGTCAAGAAAGGAGAATGCTGGATTAGCTTCGTGCGGAGGAGTGATCCGAGACCATGAGGGAGTTTGGCAGATGGGTTATAAGAAATTCCTTGGTATTTGTTCGATTCTGGAAGCAGTACAGTGCAGCCTGGAATGAGGGGATGCGAAAAGTGATTGTTGAAACTGGTAGTCTAACTGCTATTGGTTCAATCTGTGATTACCATTTGAGGAGCAGGTCCGTAACAATTATGGATCATATTGATGAGTTAATTAATCGTAATTGGGAAGTCAGATTCGAGCATACGATGAGACAAGGGTATGCTGTTGCGGACGTGCTAGCAAGAAACGCAGGACCAGATATAGTTGAGACTCATTTGATTCGGTTTCCTCCTGCTCGTATTCTTAGAGTTCTGCATGAGGATATGGGTTAATTTCACTATTGAATTTGTTATTTGGCAGCCGCTTCTTGGCTTTGTAGACTCTTTAGTTGTTCTTGTTTGTATAGTTTTGCTGCTTTGTATTATTACCATGTGTACTCCAACTAGAATTAGGAATGTTTTTAAACGAGACACATGGTAATAAATCTCCCTTTATTATCAAAAAAGAAAAATAATTAAACCCAAAACACTGATCAACTTACCTCAGTAATTGAAGGAATCGTTGTTGTTCCTAAAAGTCACGAAATCGAGTACTAACAACTGCATCAGGGTGATTAAGCTTCCTTATCAAATAATTGAAAATATTTAAAACAAATACGACTTTATGATCACCTTAGCTTAATCAGAAAATAATTAACCACGTAAATTTTTTACATTACACGATAATCAATTAATTGTATTTTTTAAAAGATATCATTTCAAACAAAAACAAGATAACAAAAGATTAAATATTTTTAAAAAATAAATCAAAGTAATTATTTTATTAGATTTTAATAAATTTTAATTAACTATTAGTTCCTAAGTTACCGTCTTTATTTAATTTAATTGTGTAAAATTACAGGAAGCAGCGAAATAAATCCAAAACACCAACAAAAAGGAAGAAGGCATTAAGATTCAAGACGAAACAACCTCAAAATAAATGAAAAAGAAAACCCAGGCGCGGGCCAAAGCAACACGAATTCCAAAGGCGGCACCTTAATTTGGTTTCCTTTCAGATTCAAGCACGCCTTTTTATTATATATGAATTAAATCCCACCAACATTTGGCTGCCCGTTGCATCAATTTTCTCACCGGAACTTCTTATCGACGTACCCCTTTTATTGTGAAGCACGGAGATGATTGGAGGAGTGGCCGAGAGAGATGCACGGAAAGCCCATGTCTCCATGGCGTTGGTGCAACTCTGCAATGGAGGTTATCATGTGATTACCAAAGTAGCCCTCAATGTTGGTGTTAACCAGCTTGTCTTCTGCGTCTTCCGTGATCTTCTTGCTCTCGCTCTTCTTGCCCCCATCGCCTATGTTCGTGAGAAGTACGACCCTTTTTGTTTTTTGTTTTCCTGGGTTTGACTCTGCTTCTGTTGTTTTAAATCAATTGCGTTTTTAAATTGATTCCTTTCATTTCTCTTCGTTTTGCTTCTATTGATTCCTTTGAACTCACGGTTTGAGATTTCGATGTTCTGTTTTAACTCAGTTCCAGAGATTTAAATTATTGCTGCCGCGTTTTAGATCGATTGTGTTTGCGGGCATAATTGATATTATTGCGGTCATTGCGGGTATAGCTTTCAATAAACAATAGAGGGAATAGCGTTTCTGCTTCGTGAGCCACCGCTATTGGTGTGATTCCGCATCACACTGCTATTTTCGGCACTAGTGGTTTTGGACACTACCGCTATATAGCGGCCACTATTCCGCTATCCGTCCTCTGTTTAAATCTCTTATCAGTTTTATTAAGATGATTCACTGATTTTGTTCTCATTAAGATGATCTACATTGTATGCATAAGCTAAATTGACTGCCTTAGTTATTTTTGGTTTCCTGGACGCCTGAATCGGAAATATAACTTATGGGGTCATTTGTTCTTCTTTTCCTGCAGAAGGATTCGAACTCCTATGACTAAACGCCTCCTCCTCTCTTTCTTCTTTCTTGGGTTAACTGGGTTAGTAGTTCTTTCTAAACAGCCCTAATTGATATGTTATTGTCTCTGTTTATGCCTAGTAAAACTTCCTGCTAGCCAACTTATCTGGTTCTGATTACCTGGAATAGGATATTCGGCAACCAGCTTTTATTTCTCATTGGTCTGAGCTATACAAATCCAACTTATGCTGCTGCTATACAGCCTTCAATTCCAGTCTTCACCTTTCTCTTGGCTGTAATGATGGGGTAATGGCAATCGATTTGTACTTTTATGATATCGGTTCATTTCTACATTTCTTATAAACTAGATTCCTGTGTTTTGATGTCTGTTACTTTTGCCATATTTTGTATGGAACTCTACATGCAGTACGGAAAGAGTGAATTTGTCCAAAACCGAAGGTCAAGCGAAGGTTGGAGGTACGCTAATCTGTGTCTCTGGTGCAATATTAATGGTTCTGTTTCGTGGTCCAGCTTTAATTGGACAGAAAGATGCAGACTTTGCTCATTATGACATAAGTGCCAGGGGTCAACCAGAACCTTCTGGATGGCTTGTGTCTAGTTTTTTGGAGTTTGGTCTTGAATATTGGCATATTGGAGTTCTATGCTTGATAGGGAACTGTATGTGCATGGCTGCTTTCCTGGCCATTCAGGTATGCCTACATAATCTGATAATCATATGGTTGATTTTTGGACGATTATTAACTATTTGCTCTTTTACCACTTTTATTAGCTAGTCTTCTTGTCAGAATTTTTCAATAATCATTAATCAAAATGTCTCGGTGCAAAGTTTTTCCATGTAAAAGCTGTCCGTTGCTTGCATTAGATTAAGTTTCATATCTTATTTACTGGAGGTAAAAAACAGAAATCTTTGTTTAAGACAATAAATGGACAGTAGCCAGTGTGTCCATGAATATAATTTGAGGTTTGATATGCCATTCTTGTGCCTGACTGTTTTGATCTGTGTCTCATTATTTTTTCAATGATCCGATGCTATCTGGTATGATCATATAATTAGGTCCATTGCAATGCTTTGCAATGCCTGTTTTAAATTTTAATCATATTTTGGAGTAACTATCTGTGGTGCTTTTATATTGTCTTGCTTAGGCAACACTATGCATTTATGCAGTATCTACTGTTTACTTTTGCTCAGCGGTCTACTTTCCACAAGGACTAACAAAAGTGATTCTTATAGTTAACATCTGCATTGAATTTCCTTAAAACGGCGCTAACTTATTCAATCACATGCATCTTTATTTATAATTTGAACTTCACGTGTATTTTCTTGCAATTTAGTTTTGAACTATATTGAAAGCTCATTTTCTTTAAACCATTCCAGGCTCCAGTTTTAGCCAAGTATCCTGCAAACATTTCTGTCACAGCCTTTTCCTATTTTTTTGGTGCCGTATTGATGGTAACAACATCCTTTTTTATGACCAATGAGTCAACAGACTGGAGGCTGACACAGTCTGAGCTTTTCGCCGTCTTGTATGCTGTAAGTTACTTGCGGACTTGTATTATCTCCAGTCTTAAGAACTTCTGCAATTCATGTTACTGAAAGAGTAGCGATCAAAGTTGCTGCTTTATCCTGGTTTCAAATGTTATCGCGTGCTTGTTTTAAAATCTTCCGGGTCAATGCTTGATATTCTAGTTTAATGATCAAGAATGAGGTTCAGTTTCCAACTTTTTTAGTCATTGTAGCATAAAGGCTCCATAGTAACAGTAATGTGATGTCCTTAAAGTATCTTAAAAACTCAGCTGCCTACCAAATAGGTAAACCATAAGCCTAAAGCTACGGGAGTTTCGGTTTTCTTCAGGGAATCGTTGCATCTGCTCTTAACTATGGACTCCTAACGTGGTCGAACAAGATCTTGGGGCCCGCTTTAGTTGCTCTTTATAATCCCCTTCAACCTGCAGCATCAGCATTTCTATCGAGAGTATTCCTCGGGAGTCCAATTTTTTTGGGAAGGTTGTATTTCTCTCTTCTTGTATACAAAGTAGAACTTAATAATTTCTCATCAAATACAGAAAAAACACTTATTTTTGCTCACTTCACTTGCAAAAAGCTAGTGCGAACTTGGTTGATTTTCTTTTGTTATGGTAACAGCGTGCTTGGAGGTTTGCTAATCATTGCTGGTCTATATATGGTCACTTGGGCGTCCTACAAAGAAAAGCACGCTGCTACGGGGATGGTGCCTCTTGTCGTTCGGCCTTCCGAACCTCCCTTTCACAAAGATGCAGCGATTAACAAGAACCCACTCCACCGGGGACACATTTTCTCTTCCGTTTTATCAGCGAAGCCCATCGATTAACTTCGTAATCCGGTGTGGTGTAAGGTTACCATGAGCTTTTTTCTTACAGGTACATTTTACTAAAGATCGTGTAGTGTCACTCGGCATTTGTAAACTTTGATGGGTAGCAAAAGAGAGATTCGTTAAATCCATATTCAAACTATAAAAATTTAGTCATCGCAATGTTTTTTTTATTAAAATTATTACTTAAATTTGAATTGTTGCTATTTGAATCATTAATTTTAAAAAAACCAATTAATTCAAAAACCGACCGAATTAACCACATTTAATAAGCTTTGGATAATAAATTAAGTAAATGTTTTGATTCGGTTAATGTTTAATTAATGATTATTCAATTCGATTATTGATCGATTGTTGCAATGTATAATTAATGACTATTTGAACATCTCTAGTGTCGAGAAAAATTAATAGGAGAGAATAGAGTCAATAAAATTGTGAATGGTGTATATAATTTACATCTCATGCCGCTACTTGCTATGAGCAAAGTCTGATTTTCAAACAAGATACCCAAAAGAAACATACAGATTCGATTCGTCCAAGAAAAGATTTCACTAAATAATAATACCTCCATAATTTGTTAGAACTCAGAAGTGAAATTATTCCTACTTCTCTGAAGCCAAAAAAAAGATCAAACCGTTGGGGATATCCCTTCTCGCATCAACAAGAGGCAGTCGATTCATACGGCCTCGCAAACAGGTCGAATTCTGTTCAGTAAAGGCCTTGCAATAAGTCCATCAGTTACCCAACCTACTGATTCACTGTCCATTTTAACATGGTTGAATTCCCTTTGCACGTACTCGAGAGAGATTCGTAGCCTACCCCCTTGTCTACAGTCATTGGAGGCACCCCTCGATTCAATCCCTGCATTTCTCTCCAACCAGTACAAGTAATTTACCTGGAAAAGTGACTTCAGCATGTCTTGTTTGTGGCGAACAACTTTCTTTAAGCACTACCTGGTTTACCCAAAAAGAATCTCGAATTAGTATCGGTGCCTAGTAGCTAGTCTACAGCACTACATAATCATTGAGGTTGTCCTATTTCGATAGCAAAGTATTCGACAAATTTAATAGACCAAATCGTGTTCAGGCATTTGTAAGGGTGGCAAATAAAAAGATTGCTATAGGCGAGATGAGAAGGAACCGAGCTCAGTCTTTCAGGAATAAGTATGTTGCCTTTGTGGAATGAATGGAAAGAGGCTAAAAGCCACAATAGTTATTAACTTACACAGAATTTTCCTTCTTGTTCAGCCAGAATGTAGCCTTCATCTTTATACAGACTGAATAGAGCCAGTGCATCCTCCTTGTTGTTGACAGCATCACTGAGTTTCGATCCCAACTGCAGCCGAACCTCAATTTCAGAAGCTGGCTGCTTCGCTTCGGAAGATAGAGCATCTGACTGTTCCTGAAAATGGGAATTCATAACAGAATCTCTTAGATTTTATACTGAAATTGTTACAATCAATTCTAGAAAAAGATTTTGTATTTTTTTTCACTTGTGGATTGACCAGTTTACTACTCGAGCAGATTTTAGAAAGTTTAATTGATAAGATAGATTATCGTATCCCATGCTTGAGCTGAATGCAACAATCAAGGACTAGAAGTCTTGAGCCCTGGTAAAAGTTCATGTTCTAGAGAAGTATAGTTATAGACGAAACCCTTCAAGCAAGTTTTCTTTTAATTTAACAAGAAAATCAGTTTAATCACAGAGAGGCAACCTAGAAAAAATTAATCTCAAAGACCTCATTAAGAATTGACCCGAATCTCAAAGACCTAGAGAAAGTAACTCACTCTGTTTGCAGATATAAAATTCAGGAACAGTAAATCTGGAAAAAGCGGCTCCTCGGCATTGACCTCTTTGATTGATGGTGCTTGGCCACTCAACAGATATTCACTGAAAACCAAACCTGTTAAAACAATAAGATTTCCATTCCTTAATGAACTATAATTCCCATGTAACAACAACGTTAGCAGAGATACATTACTCGCTCGATAGGGATTTAAAGTCTTCAGTTGAATAGATTGATGCGATTTTAGATTGCAGTACATATGGATCCAAGTAACCACACCGAATGAAGCAAGGGCAAAAGATGTAGATGAGCCAAAACAGTTAGCCAATGCTATACCAAGAGCAATTCCGATCGACTTGCTCACCATTCCCTGAGCTTCACCTTTTGCAATTACTTTGAAGGACTATTATGAATCTTTTTATAGTAATAAACAGTTACTTTGAACTAGGACTAACGCATATAAAGAGCAGCGTCGCTTTCGAATCATCCTTGTTACTTTGAAGGACTATTATGTATGTGAAATTCCATAGTAATAAACATAGTTTGCGTGGTGAGTCAACTCAGGGCTCGGAGCCTGAGAGAGAGCACAAGCGAGGGTTTATACGGAGGTTCTGTTAGGGCGGCAGGTGGCTTTTATTTTTAGTCAAGTTAATTGAAAAGATGTCCCCAAACTATAAACTCTGTTCTAAAATGATCCTTAAACTTTAAAATATCCTATATTAGTCCCTAAACTATAACTCGATTCTAAATTAATCTCTAAACATTAAAATATTTTATATCAATCCTCAAACCAACAGTCTCATTCCATTCTAATTCTTTGGTGAGAGAATAGTATGTTTTGAAGGTATTAGGAATTGAACTAGTGACCTTTTTAAAACTATAATATTACCTCCATCCCATTAAAAATGTCTTTTATTGACATTTTAAAAGTCAAAATTTTTAAAGTTTGACCACGATTATTTTAAATATTAAAAAAAATAAGTTTTTATCAAATATACAATTCAAAACTACTTGATTAAATATTTCTAAAATATATTTTTTTTTCATATTTTTATTAATAACAAGTTTCAAATAATAATGAGTCAAAGTAAAAAAAGTTTGACAAAAAAATCAACAATGGACAATTTAAGTGAAACAGTATTTTTGAAGGTTTTAAGAAATTTGTAAAAGGTCACATGTTTAATTCTCGAGGCCTTCACAAATATTTTAATTTTTCTTAATTAATAGAATTAACATGTTAACGGAAGATAAGATGGGAATGGTAGTTTAGGATGGTTATAGAATGTTATGAAAGTTGGAAACTAGTCTAAAATGAGAATTATAGTTTGGGGACATCATGTGCATTTTGTTAAAAATAATAAGAGCATGTTCCGTTTTACCCACTTTGACTTTCAATGTGAGGACCCTTCATTCTTGAATGAACGTGTGTGGGTTGCCGATCAACAAATAACATGATGGAGACATGACCGATGATGATGATAGATCGCTAAAAGGGTTTTTACGATAAAATTTTTCAGATTCTTGGGAAGAAATAATTCTCGTCGCGTCCCAAGAGTGGCGCATTGCACTCCCTTACAACACCATAGATTAATTCTAAAGCATTATCTAAAAAAATGCATGAAAAAAAAACACGAATATGCATGGAAAATGCATGAAGAATCAGCCGTCCACATGCATGAAATTTTGGAGTACAATGCAACTTGTACGAAAAAGGTTGGTGTCGCATGGTATTCCATGCGAGTTAGGGTTAGCTTTGTACATTAACAAATGCATTATTCGAGTAAATAATTTTGGTTGTTCATCATTCGATCAATTTTTTTTATTATATTATTATCGTAATTTTTTTTTCGGATTTTTACATTCTCATTTTAGAAACAATTAATATGATACTTTGATAAAATATTTAATACGATGATTTTTTATTCATATGCGATATCTAATGACATCTTCATTTTAAAAAATCTAATATAATATTTAACATATTATTTTATGCATTATTATTGTATTTAAACTATTAATATATTATTTATAATCTATAGTTTTAATTGGTTAATAAATCATAACTATATCTTATATACCATAAAGAATTACATGATTAACATTTATATGCATTAGTAATTATTTAAATAAATAAAAGTTATGTTCAAGTAATACGAATGGGTTTAATTTTTTTTGAAAGGTAATGGATTTATAATTTTAAAAGTTATATTATTTTATTTTATTAGATATGGTTTGTATTAATAATATTTCTTGTTTTGCATAGTTAATTTAAAGGCCAAAAGGATAAGAAGTTTCTATACTTTTGAGAAAAAATCAATGTGACACACGTATTATTTTTTACCTCTTAATATAGTCTTCCAACTTAATGTGATCTTTTGACCAACGTTTTCATCGTTGATTGTTAAGATGCTGACGTGACGATTTACAGTACAGATATGACAATCAACGATGCTGACGTGACAGTCCATCTGTCACGTTTGAATTATCAATTTAATCCATTTATCATGTCATTCGTTACGTTATCAACCACTGTAGATTATCATGTGAGTATTATAGACTGTCACGTCAACACCATAACAATCAATTATAAAAAAACATTGATCAAAAGATCATATTAAATTTATTTTTTGAATTAAAAAGTTGAAAAAATAATATGAAGTTAACATTAATTTTTTTAAAATACCTCTGATTCATTTTTACCTAATAAACATCAAGTTGATTAAAGGTAGTAGTATATTCAAAATCATTTGATGGTCAATGGAGGCGTGTGTCCCAAGGTCTCCCAAGATGATTCCAGACGCGTTAAATGTAGTTTGTGGACAAAGGGTTGGAGAATCTCAGCCTCTTCTTCCGGAGCCAAGGCCATGCAAATGCTATGCTCTTGCACTCCCTTACCATATTCCCTGCCATTTATTTTTAACATTCCATCAGGCCTCCAAAAAAAAATACACCTTTTGTGAAGTTTCACAAATCATACCTATTATAAGACAGCATCATGCCATGGTCTCTCCTTAGGGACCAATTATGTGACTGCAGAATCAACAATCTTTATGAAGCCTTGATAGGCATAGCTAGCCTATGTACATAGACGGATATAAGATTTTATGTTAAGAGTCAAACTTATAATATTTTAGAAGAGATCAAATTTAAAACTTTTGAGGAAAAAATAAATTACTAATAGAAAATACAAAGAAAATTATTAACCATGATTTTTAAACTTGTATTCATAGATTGTTAAAATACTTCGGGTTGGTCCAGTGGCGGATATATGTAGTGCCCACCCTGGAATCCTAATTTTCTTATGATAGTTGTTCATTTTATTAAAGGTGTCTATCTTGAAATTTTATTTGTACCCACCTCATACAAAAAAATTTCGTCTTCAATACATATGTGCCAACTTAAAATATTTCTAGATTCGCAGTGGGTCGATCAATTTTTTTGCTCAACTCTACATGAAATTATCAGAAAGTTATATTACTAAATTAATAAAAATAAATTAGAACTTACCTAAGATCTTGAGGCCGCAACAAAGGGATTTGGTTATATTTTGTCATCAGTATTATGAACCTGACTTAGGGAAGAAGTCAGCATCAAACCAGGATTAGATCTCGAAGCACGTTTCCAGTGAAGCCTCTGCAAATTTCTTTTAAAGTTTGTTAAGTATACTTTGAAGCATGGACAGCTTACAAGAAAGTAATTTAAGAAGAACAAACAGTTAGGTATAAGGATTAGGGCTTACAATTAAATTGGCTAGAGAGATCCCAATAATATCACGGTTTGTAGCTATCTCAAGCCCTAACAGTGATGTACCAGTTAAATCAGATGCCATTGATCTAGAGTCCTCCACACACCTTCCATTTACAACAGCGAACAGGCTGTGTCCTGAGTCTCTTTGAAGAACTCCTACAGAGAGAAGTGTACAGGTGAATCCAATTTCAAGTCGGAAGAAAATGGGAGTTGCTTGCAGTGTCTCTAAGCAGAAACATAACCGTGGGATTGATCGAGACGAATAACGATGCATCACCACAGGTCTGAACTAAGAATCATGCACCATGAAAATAAAATGCAGACATTAAGTTTCAAGATTAAAGTAACCTCTGGCTATGCTGTCTGTGGCCATATCAGAAAATCTTCCCCGACACGAGACCCCACGATAGCTAGACCGAGTCGCCAACAAACTTCAATGTAAATTATGCTAACCAAAGTTGCTGCAATTAATAAGATCATGTTATGGGACTGCCTAAACTGACGAAAAAATGGTTAGCAAACAAATATTACAGTGGGAAAAACCATTGCAGTGTCACTAGATCAAAATTACGAGGCTTATTGCATGAAAGTTACCACTGCCACATCCAGAGCTCAGCACTGAGTGTAAGTATGAATGCTTAGAGTCTACAAGAACAGGGGTTCTTTTAAAGTCTCTTAACTCAAAAAGAACTACATTGACTGCCTGCAAAACTTCAACCAGATGACAGCCTATGTCCCTTGAAACTAGCTCCGCCTCGACTTATTTAGTAATCGCGTCTAACTCACTCAGCCATTCAGATATGATCTTTCCACCCAAAGACATTTGCTCCACAGTAGCCCTCTCTTTGGTATCAGATGAGAAAGAAACATTCATCCTTTCATTGAGAAGGGAACGAGAGTCCATCTCTTGGTTGTAAGCCATGAATGCCTCATCTTCAGCTGCAGCATAAAGCAAAGCCTACATAAAAAAAAAGAAAAGAAAGATATCAAGCAAAATTAAACTTCCAACTTACGCTTCAAGAGCATGAACGAAGCAACAACACCTCAAATGAACTAGTGAAGGCTATATAAATTATCTATTGGGTAGCACCGTTTGTCAAACAAAAAATAAGACGATGTAGGCACTCAGGTAGCCGTCACTCATTATATATGTACCTTAGCAAGCGAGACGTCTTCATCTTTGGAGTGAAAGGAGATCTCCCGAGTGAACTTGTCCCTGGCAGTCTTTAGAGATGTTGACATTGTAATTGGAATTAAACAGAATATTAGAGAAAGAAAATGTAATAACAAGATGATTAACATGGTGATGCAGGTATCCAGAATGGATGAACAGCATATATGCATATATAATATACAGATGAAGATCAACCTCCTGGTCAAATTATTGACGGGAGGAAGAGTCATTAGGATTGGAAAAGAGAGGGTAAGCAGAAGCAGAAGTTGAAGTAGCAGCAGAGGTCCTACTCCATCTCCTCAAGTCCTTGTGATCATGATGGTGATGATCATACCTGATGATCGTAAAGAATAAACGGATAATGTTTCTTCTGTCTCTCTATAATTATACTAGTACCATTGTATTCTAATTCTCCCCATCGATTAAGAGATACCAAACAGTCAAATTAGTAAACCCACTTAGCAAATTAAATTACTAGGAGCAGGAAAAGATAAAAAGGTCAATTATCACGAAATTACCTAATAAAGCAACAAAAAGATGGAAAAGAAAGAAACAAGTTCAAAGGCTTACCTGATAAAGCAATGATCAGCAAATGTTTGAGAAACCAGAGATGCTGCCGGTATGCAATATACTTGTGCCATAAGTTATGTTTAGAGGGTCGATTGATGTGTTATAACATGTTGGTCTGTTCCCAGGAACGTCCCGTATGATTGGATCAACAAGCAAAAGTCTAATCAAAATTGGCTGAAGAAACAAGGGGACAAGTTCCTTTTTCCTGGTGGTGGTACCATGTTCCCCAAAGGAGTGGGTGCATACGTGAACTTGATGCAAGACCTGATCCCTGAAATGAGAGACGGCACTGTTCGAACTGCAATTGATACTGGTTGTGGGGTGAGTTGCCATAAACTAGTCATGCTTCTTCTATCTCCGCCGCTCACTCGTTTAATCGATGTATTTCCAGGTTGCAAGTTGGGGAGGGGATCTATTAGATCGCGGGATTCTGACTATTTCACTTGCTCCTAGAGATAATCATGAAGCTCAGGTCCAGTTCGCGTTAGAACGTGGGATCCCTGCAATCATTGGTGTCATTTCTACACAGCGCCTTCCTTTCCCTTCAAGCTCATTCGATATGGCTCATTGCTCAAGATGTCTTATTCCTTGGATTGAATTTGGTAATTGATAGGCATTATCTGATATTTCACTCTGTTGGTTCAAAGGCCTTTTCCTTGTCTTAAAACAACAGATGCTCCTGCTTTCAGGTGGAATTTATCTCCTCGAAGTTCACCGCATACTCCGTGCCGGTGGTTTCTGGGTCTTGTCCGGCCCTCCTATAAACTATGAACACCGCTATCAAGGATGGAATACAACCGAGGAAGAGCAGAGAGACGTTTACGAGAAGTTGCAGGACCTATTGTCTTCAATGTGCTTTACAGTCTATGCCAAACAGGATGATATTGCTGTGTGGCAGAAATCTTCAGACAGTAGCTGCTATGAGAAGCTTGCTAGCCCTGATCTCGATCCTCCCAAGTGCGATGACAGTATCGAACCTGATTCAGCATGGTACACTCCGCTATGCCCATGTGTTGTAGCTCCGAGACCAAAGCTCAAGAGAACATCCTTGTACTCCCTGCCAAAGTGTCCAGAGAGATTGAAAGTCACACCCGAGCGCATTTCGGATGTTCCCGGTGGGAGTAGCACTGCTTTAAAGCGTGATGCCAACAAGTGGAACGTGAGGACCAAGCACTATAAGAAGTTACTCCCTGCACTTGGGACAGAGCAGATAAGAAATGTTATGGACATGAACACAGATTTAGGAGGCTTAGCTGCAGGTCTCATCAACGATTCCTTGTGGGTTATGAACGTTGTCTCGTCCTATGCTGCCGACACATTACCCGTGATCTTCGACCGGGGCCTCATCGGCACATATCACGATTGGTAACTTCAAATACATAAACATGAATTCTCAATCCTTTGCATACAAATGCTGCTCAAAGACTGCATTATGATTGCTTCCAAGGTCTTACTTTTAACTTGTTCTCCGTTCGTAGGTGCGAAGCATTTTCGACATATCCTCAGACGTATGATCTTCTACACTTCGACGGTCTCTTCACCGCTGAGAGCCACAGGTAATCGAACTCCGAATCATATCAAATGGTTCGCTGATGCATCATGTTCTAAAAATCATAGTCGCTTTCCCAGGTGCGAAATGAAGTACATGCTGCTGGAAATGGACCGAATTCTTCGTCCCGAGGGGTACGCACTAATACGAGAGTCCAGCTACTTCATGGACGCTATCGGTGCCATCGCCGAGGCAGTGAGGTGCAACTGCCGGAAAGAAGATACCGAAGAAGGTGGGGAGAAGGAGAAGATATTAGTATGCCGGAAAACACTGTGGTATTCCTCTAACAACAGTACAAAACAATGATCCAAAAATTCAGTGCGACAACTCTCCTCGTCTGGGTTAATTGTAATTATTGTTCCCAACAGTGGAAGCAGAAACAAGGAAGTTCCATACTGTGAAAGGATAATCAGATATCCCAAAGAAACCAAAAGAATCTCCAAATTCATTTTGTTCATTTGTAGATATAATCTTTGTAAAGCATATATATATATATACACACACAGAGGGTCCTGATATATTGCTATCTTCACTTTTTGGCCTTTCTTCTTGTTTGTATATTATTTGTTGTTAACTAATTCAAATACAAGGGAGAAGTCCAAAAGAAAATGGGTTATGAAATGATAATGTTGTATTTTAATTGATTATCTTTGCTCCTTTTCTTGTTTTTTGTATTATTCAACCCATATATTTTTGTAAGGGTAAATTATGCGTTTAGTACATAAATTATCAGTTTTGACCCGTTTTAGTGTCTAAACTTTTAATTTTTTCAAGCTCATACCTAAAATTTAGTTTTTGTTTCGTTTTAATAATCGTGTTCAAAATTTAACGTTAACTTTTAGAAAAAAAATGAAAATTTAGGTATCTAAACATATCAAAATTGATAGTTCACAGAGCAGAGAAAACATGTGTCACAAGAGCAAAAAAAAATTAAGAAAAAAAGTGTCACAAGGAATGAAATTCTTATTTAATTAAAAGAACTTAAGAAAAAAAAGGGAAACAAATGACATATTACAAAAAATTAATAATTATTGGTAGTCTGTAACTAATATTAATATTGATGTTGCAATCAACTAAACAAAATCAAAAGGAAAAAAGAATACGACACAAAAAATATTAAGAGAAAACCTAAGTTAAAAAAAAAGATGTTTCATATGAAATTTAAATTGAAGTATAATTTCTTTAAGAGTTGAGTGACTATGAATATATATGTTCAAAGATAATTTTTATCTATTTGACATTGAATGCTCATTTCTTATGTTGAAAACATTTTGATGTTTCGATATAACAAATTAAATTAAAAGAATTTTAATTTTGAAAATGATTTTTCTAAGCATATTCGATATATTAAATTGAATATCAAAATATTACTCAAAGTATTTCAAAGTTCATTTTAAATCCTTACTAAAGTGTAAAATTAAATTTTAATCTTAAAATAATTTCAAAACAATTTTACAAAGTATTTCGAACCGTTTCAAAGCAAAAAATTACAGTTTGTCCAGAGGAAACCGATTCCCCCCAATGGGGTACCGATTCCCCCTGAATGGTTTTGCTACAAGAAATTTCAGTATGCTTGGAGGGAACCGATTCCCCCCAGGGGGTATCGATTCCCCCCACTGTTCAACGGTCGAATATTTGAATTTTACAATTAGGGAATCGATTCCCCATGAGGGGGTACCGATTCCCCCCACGCTCCAAGTAGAAATATTAATTATTTTCACACTTAAACGGCTCCAATAACTTCATTAATGATCCCCAATGTTCAGAAGTGATTCAAGGTGTATTTGAACAAGCTTAGAAGCCATTGATCAACAACAAGAAACATCAAGCAACTAGAATCAAGAGAGAATCAAAGAGAAAGCATCAAACCTCAAGTTTGAGAATTTCAAGCCTATTTTTCATTCAATATTCATTTTGCTTTCAAGAACACTTATTGTGCTCAATTATATTTATTCTTGAGTGTTCTTTCTTTGTTCTAGAATTGTGCAAACATCTTACCTTGTGAGGTTTTCTTGTAAGTTTGCGAAATTTGTAATCTTCTCTTTGAGAAAGAGTGTTCTCAAGAATTGGGGTACAATTCTTGAGGGAGTTGTAAGGTTATCTCTTTGGCCTCAAAAGAAAGAACAAATTAGTTAATTTGTTGGAAAATCCTTAGTGTGGATAGCTAAGGTATTGGACGTAGACTTTGTTGAGAAAGTCGAACCACTGTAAATCGCTGTGCAATTACTTTCAATTTTCTGCAAAAGCTTCCACCAAAATTTTAATTGCCAATTCACCCCCTCTTGGCCGATTTCATCGATCGATTAATTCAACAATTGGTATCAGAGTCTAACTCATTTGAAGGTTTAATCGCCTCTTGAGTTGATTCGGGAAGAGTTACATCGATAATCAAAGTCATCAATGACCTCTACTTTAAACTTCGACTCCGATCTCGATTCAATGCCCGTCAACAAGCCTCCTTTCTTCAATGGGGTTAACTATGCCTATTGGAAAAATAGGATGATGTACTTCATTCAAGCAAGTGACATGGGAGCATGGAATGCCGTAGAAGAAGGATACATCAAGCCTCTCACTCATCCAAGATTGTGGAGTGAAGGAGAGACAAGAATGTTTCAACTCAACTCCAAAGTCATCCATATCATATTTTGTGCTCTTGGACCAGATGAATACGGAAGAATTTTATCTTGTACAACCGCCAAAGAAATATGGGACAAACTTCATGTAACATCCCAAACTACGGGTTAGTGACTAAATCGTAAATTTCAGAATTTGATAATAAAAGTAGAATACTTGAATAGTTCAATGATTTATTTGAGGATATTTCCTGAAAGTTGTTAGTAATTATCTAAAGAATTAAAGGGCAAAAGGGTAATTTGTCATGAAAGATATTTTTATCCCTTTATTAAGAGATAAAAACATGAGAAGATGAAAGCATTTCATCTTCTTATTCCTTTCTCTTCCCCTCCCGTAAGAGCAAGGGCAAAGGTAAGTTTCTTCATTAGTTGATTATTTGTTCAATTCAAGGTTGGGTTTTGATTATTAGATGATAATTAAGCTTAAGGAAAGCTTAATTTGTTCTAAAACAACAAGATGAAAGGTATATGAGAGATTAAAGATTTTGAGTTCTTGAATCAAATCTTGAAATAGAATTGATAAGTTGAATTTTAAGTTGAATTTGACTTGTCATCTATGAGATTAAGAAGTTAGAAGTGTTAGAATTATGTTTGAATAACATGAAAAATTTGATATGATTATTGAATTCTATATGGAGAATAGAATTCTAAGGTTTAAGATGAAATAAATGAATATAGATTGGTTTAAGTATGTGTACTAGAGTTAAGAATGAAAAGGGGATGATATATGAAGTGTTTGAGAGAAATTGAAGTGATTTTCGAGCTAAAAATATGATTTCTGGGCAAGGGGAATCGGTACCCATTCAATGGGAACCGATACCCCTTCAAACGACAGAATTCCAGAATGCCAGAGGGGAACCGATACCCCCACAGGAGGGAATCGATTCCCCCCTAAAGGAAAATGTTAATATTGGTTTAATAAGTTCGTTTAAGTTGCTAGTATACAATTAAAAGGTGTGGGTATCTAATAATTGTCTTAAAATGTATAATTATGTAGATTCAAAGCCTAAACGAGTTCCGGAATCATTGACAAGTAAGATCGATAAAAAGGGAAGATAAGAGATTGAAAGGGACTAGTGAGGCCAGGTGAGTGCAATTTAAATTGTACTTATGTGATTGATCAAACATTGGCTTGCGATGAGTCAATGATAGAGTTACTATGGTAAGAGGTAAATTATATAATGTTATGTGATTACTCTGTGTGCATTAGTACATAGAAATGGATGTATGTTTATATGTTACATGATTTACATGCTTACATGAAAATGCAACATATGATATTAGATATGTGCTTACACATACATTTGATATGTGATAGAAGAGAAGGAACATGTGATTATGATATCAAGGATTACACGTACATGTGATACGTGACTGAAAAGAAAATATATGTGTTTATAAGAGAAAGAATATGAATAAGTAATGTGAACGGTCATAAATGATAATGCCCATGTTATGTGATATGAGAGCTAGGGGTATAGTTGGCATGCCAAGGGTCGAGGGTTACCTATGTTCTTCGGGACATATGGACTGTTTACCTATGTTCTTCGGGACATATGGACTGTTTACCTATGTTCTTCGGGACATATGGACTGTTTACCTATGTTCTTCGGGACATATGGACTGTTTACCTAGGTTCTTCGGAATCTATGGACTGGTCCTTCGGGACATTAATCGAGCTGTGGTGATAGCATATGTGTGCACAACCTCAATGTACTCACATACCTTAAGTTCTCACTAGTGTACGTGGGCTAATAAAGTGATTAAACAAGCATACTGAATGTGATATGTATACGATGGGTTTATAAGTGGTTTGAAATATGTTACGTGAACCATATGATGTTATGTGTGTTTCTTAATGATAATGATGGTATATGTTTATGTATGATTTATGTTATATGAAATATTATATGTTTTATATGCCTCACTAAGTCATCGACTTAGCGTGTGATTGTTTCACACGTAGGTATGGAAAGCGAAAAGAGAAATAAAGAGGGAGCAAGACAGGTCAGTTCTTCTTACCAAATGTCAGATCAGAAAATATATGTATTGTATATAGAGTGTAGTTGGCATGTAGTCTAAAGATAAAAATTGTATGAACTCTGATATATTTTGTAAACGTTTTGAAATAATTTAAATGTTATCAAAGTTTTTAAATTACTCACTATTTTATACGAATAAATGTTTGAAAAGTCAATGTGACACTTCGGACTCGTATCCGGGTCGGATACGGGTTGGGGGTGTTACATTTAATGGTATCAGAGCTACGGTTTAGCCGATTCTAGGCTAAAAATGAAGTCAAAAGTGCTTTAAAAAGTATACATGCCAACATAAAGTGAAAAATTTTCTGATCTGATAGTGTAAGGAGTATACTATCTTTTAAATAGAGTTAAATTGTTATGTTATATAAGATAAGTGAATACATGATGATGATTTATGAGATATATATGTTTATGTGATAGATGATATGTGAACATATGCAAATGACATATGTTAAATTATATGAATTGGATGATCATATGCACATGTTATATGTGATAGAAGAAATGATATTAGTACATGAATATATGAGAGCTTCTAAAGTGAAGCACAAGGCAATAGACTGCAGGTAATAGCATTCACCTGCCCTGGCCAGGCAGGGAGAAGAGCGAAAAACCTCAGGGCGTGCCTGTACAAGATTAGAGAATGTTTCATGATATGGAATGATATTATGATATATTTTAATTTTATACTTCAATAATTCATAGAATGAATGTATTGAAAAGAGTTGAGAACACCCGAGTTCAAGGGTGAATGTGAGAAATGTTCCATTG